ATCTTTCTTGCTTATTATATTTGTCGCGTATCTCTAACTAACTCAGATTTTGTAACATTGTGTTTAGAATCTGACTTAAAAGTTTTAAAAGAAAGAAAATGAAAACACAATTCAACCCCTTTCTTATGTTTTTCTCACCTTTATTATGTATGGCTTCTTGGTAATGGCTCAAAAATCAAGTTTTGGAAGGATTTGTGTTGTGTTTATCCTTTACTTTGTTATACAAACATTGATACCTTACTTGTCAATGACATTGATCCATACATGACTATCTCTAATCTTATTCATGATAACACTTGGTTTTTTTCCAGAGGAGTGGCTTGATCGCTTTCCCTTCTTACCTCAAAAGCTGGCACATATTACTCCAACTTCTTAAGAAACTGACAAGCTCATTTGGCCTTTTCTTCTAATGGAAACTCACCATCAAATTAGCTTATATCTTGAAGACTTGTGCATCTATCAAGCTTGATTGGACAATTAGCATTTAGAATTCTATCATCCTCCATCTAAATATTTTCTAGTCTTGAGAGTTATGCATGGAAAGGATCCTACAAATGACTCAATCCAAGATATAGGTTGCAACATGGCCTCAATGTTTAGCACTTGTAAGGCGAATTTTGAAACTTCTAACCACACATTCTTCTATTGCCCTTTTGCTGCTCGAATTTGAATCTAGCTTGTCAGAACCTTAAATTCCTCAATCAACGTCACATCAATCCATGATATTTGGTCTTTGTAAAATAAGAGTACACCCCTCCTCAATGTATTTTTGGAGGTTCTTTGGATAGGTTCGTTTTTCCTTTTGCTGAACCTACTTTCAGTCCTATCTCCTTACATGCAGAACTCTTTTTAGTTTTTTGAGCTATTAAAATTGCTAGAGATGGGGCATGGATTAAACTTTGGATAGAAAGTGATTATTTGTTTGTAGTCCAAGTTTTTTCAAAGGATTCTCCGATACTATGGCAACTTAGAAACAAATGGCTCATTTATAAAAATATTATTGCAAATATATCTTTTGCTATTACTCACATTTTTTGAAAAGGGAACTCTTTGTGAATTTTTTTCATCCCTACCATCTTTTTAGGAATTTATTTCTAAAATACCATATGTTTCAACAAATATACTAAAATGGCACAGTTTCAAAAAAAAAAATTTGGCACAAGGGTGCCGCCCATTCAATGGGCGAAAGTGTTCAAATTTTTTAAGGTGCCGCCCATTCAATGGGCGGAAGTGTTAAAATCTGATTTTTTGTTTTTTACGTTTTAATTAAAACACTGCCGCCCATTAGAAGGACGACACCCAATAAATTAAGACACTGCCGTCCATTGAAAGGGTGACACCCTTATGCCAATAATCTCAATTTTTTTGAAAATGTGACATTTTGAAATTTAATTTAAAAAATATGACATTTTAAAAATTATTATCTAAAAATATGGCAGAACAGTGCAAAATTCAATTTTTTTTTTAAGCTTCTATTGCCTGCACCCTCACTTCTATTGTGTTTTATGACTCCATTCCCTTGGCTATTATAAGTGATTTTGTATTAAAAAAGTTTTGAATTGTCTTTTTTAGGTTTGTTTCTTCTCGAGAGGGTTTTAGCCTCTCTCTTTTTATGTTCCTTCTTCTTTTTTTAATATATTACCCTTATTAAAAAAATCATTTGATTATTAGAAAATTGTAAAAGTTGTATTCTCAAATTAAATTTAAAAGGTTAGGATGAAAACACTAAAAAAATAATGATAGAGATACCAAGATACTCGTAATAATAACTATAATGTATACTTGAAAAGAAAAAGGAAAATATAAATTAAAAATTAATAAATAAATAAAAGTTATGGTGGTAGTCAATTGACTCAATAGTTAGGAAAGTAATAATATCCAAAAATAAATTTGAATTTTATTTTATTAAATACTATAATTAATAAAAAAATAAAACAAAATATATTGCTATGTAAAAGAATATGTGTAAAACCAATCCGGCATAAGATCAATGAGTTATTGAATATTTATAGGTAAAATTAATGGATGTTTAACCATCTGATAACTAAAGGATAAAGGATATGTGTAAGAATTTAATGATATATGTATTTGTACATATATTCTCCTTTGTTTTATATTATAAATAAAATTTACTTTTTTAAATACATTAAATAATTAATATTTTACTTTTTTAAATACATTAAATATTAATATTAATTAGGGCTGGAAATGAGTCGAGTCGAGTCGAACTCACCTCAGCTCGGCTCGACTCGTTAAGAATTGTTCGAATTCGAGTTCGAGTTCGAGTTCGACACGAACTTTTTTTTAAGCTCAAACTCGACTCGTTATAAGTTCACGAACAGTTCGGTTCGACTTGTTAGGTTCATCTCATTAGGTTCAGCTCACATGGTTCACGAACTTAAAAACTATTTTTTAAAAAATATATATTTTTTAGTATATTTGACATTTTAAATAAATATATATTTTTAAAATAAAATATTAAAATAAAATAAAAGTTATCATATTGAAATTTAACTTTATCTTCGAAATCTACTAATTCAAAACCTACACAACTTTCAAGAGATACATTTGAGAGTCTAATTCAAAAACTAATAAATTGAAGATTAAATTTGTCTAAGATTTGAAGTAAATATTTAAACCTAATCTTAAAGACAGTATAACTCTTTTCATATGTAATCGAGTTGACTCATGAACCTAACGAGTCGAACTATGTATAGTTCAAGTTCAGCTCATTTAGCTAACGAACTTAATTTTTCGCTCATACTCAACTCATTTGGTTCATGAACCTAGTTCAACGATTTAATTGTCGAGTCGAATTCCGAACTATCTTCGAGTTGGTTTGGTTCATTGTCAGCCCTAATATTAATATTAATATTAATATTAAATACATTAATATACATTAAATAATTAAAATTTTACTTTTTTAAATACTTTTTTAAATACATTAAATACATTAATTAATTAATATTAATATTAATATACATTAAATATTAATATATATATATATATATATATATATATATATATATATATATATATATATATATATATATATATATATATATATATATATATATATATATATATATATATATATATATATATGATCTATATATAAATTAGATATATTAATTATTTAATATGTTTAAAAAATAAAATTTATTAATTATTTAATAGGTTTAAAAAGTAAAATTTGGGAACGGAGTAATATTCGTTAATAGTTATCAAAATTATTTAAATATTATCTTAAATATTATTTTGTTGTTTCTAGAATTATTATTATTATTATTATTGTTTTGTTGAATATAAACTTATTATTATTATTATTATTATTATTATTATTATTATTATATTGTTAAATATAAATTATTATTATTATTATTTTGTTGAATATAAAATATTATTATTATTATTATTTTGTTGAATATAAAATATTATTATAGATCGCCTTGTATTTGTACTGTTTTTTTAATTAACTCAATCTTCCTTTGATTTAAAAAAAATATATTATTATTATTATTATTATTATTATTATTATTATTATTATTATTATTATTATTTTGTTGAATTTAGCATAATTATGTGGTAAAAAAAGACTAAAGTGAATGTGATTTATTATTATTATTATTATTATTATTATTATTATTATTATTATTATTATTATTATTATTATTATTATTATTATTGTTGTTGTTTTGTTGAATATAAACTTATTATTATTATTATTATTATTATTATTACTAGCGTCCAGACGGGCACGGACGGGCACTCGCGTGCCCGTCTGTCCGCTTTTTTATTGCATACATATAAATATAAGTTATTAGTAAGGAGTTATATAAAAAATGATTGTAGTAGTTCAATGTAAATTATTGAATAAGTTATATATTTTAAAATAAGAGTAAATTTGGTATAAAAAAAAGCTACACCAAAATTTAAGTATTGCCTTTGTATATGTTATAGATTATAGATTATAGATTATTATTATTATTATTTTGTTGAATATAAAATATTATTATTATTAATATTGATATTATTATGTTGTTAAGTCTAGAATAATTAGTAGTAAAAGAAAAATAAAATAAATGTGATTTTATTAGTATTATTATTATTTTTTTGTACTAAATTTTAAATAAAAATGTCAGTCAATTATAATTTTTTTAAATTATTTAAATAATAGTATTTATGAATATTTGTAAATATTCATAGATATCTCAAAATCCACGAGTATTTTGATAGATAATCACACACATATAAAATAAATATTCATTTTATATATATATATATATATATATATAAACAATTGTTAATTTATAAATATTAACAATTCAATTCATTTGCTGTAAATTAATTGTTAATATTTATAAATTAACAATTGTTTATATATATATATATATATATATATATATATATATATATATATATATAAATATATATATATATATATATATATATATATATATATATATATATATATATATATATATATATATATATATATATATATATATATATATATATATATATATATATATATATATATATATATATATATAAACGTTTATTTTAAGAAATAAAGCATAATTAAAAACTATTAACCAAATCTTTTTCTAACTCTCAAAACAAAAAAGAAAATGTGGATTCATAGGTGGATTCCATTAGTCACGTGGATGCTCCACTGCCTTTATCATGTGCACACAAGAAAAACACAAAATAGTATTCTTTCTAGAAATTAAAAACTAAAAAACTTGGGCAAAATTTCGTGCACGATTTCTTAATACTATTAATAATACTAATGTGTATAAGATTGGTCCTATCATATGAAGATCTCAAATCAAAGTGCTTCTTTTATTCTTTCCCTTTTATACCCCACTCACAATTTGCCTACTTAAACTTCCCAACCTCTCTTCTATTCATTCATCCTACCACCGTCTCTCATCTCTCTCTCTCTCTCTAAATTTCTCTCTCTTTCTCTCTCTAAAGTAAGAAGAAAAAAAATAGTGATGTCTTCTGAGGAGGAAAAGAACATGGGAGGAAAAAAGTTGCAGAAAAGCTACTTTGATGTAGTTGGTTTATGTTGTTCCTCAGAGGTGCCTCTGATTGAGAACATCCTCAAACCTCTCGAAGGAATCAAACAAGTTTCCGTCATCGTACCTTCACGAACGGTCATAGTTGTCCACGACACTCTCCTCATTTCCCAGCTTCAAATTGGTAATTTTATTTTCACTCTCTTGGATCACAACTTTTTTCATTTTTCAATTTCACTTATGATTCTAGATTGTGCATTCCTCATTCATATGTCACATTCGTTAACCTTGAGAAACATTATGTTTTGTCTCATCGAAAAGCTGTGTTTGTCACATGATGTTTGTTGATAATCAAATTAATGTCATCTTCTGTTTTTTGGGTTGTTCAAATGCTACCATTGGATTATTATTTTTTTAATAATTATTAATTGGACCACATTTATGCCGTGCTTGAAACCAAAAGTGCTAGCTAGCTCTATTACCTAACCTCACATTGAGAATTTTTACTCTTAATTAATTAATTAACTCTTAAAAATACTTTTTTCATATAATTCTTCAATTATTTTCGTGATGCAAAATGTTAGGACAAAAAAGTATGGCTTTTGCTTCCTATAGCACTTTGCCGTCTTTACTTTTTTTTGCGCCTATGAAATAGAAACGTGTTTATCTGAAATATGTGTATTTCTGATTTCTGATTTCTGATTTCTGATTTCTTCAGGGATAATGTTTATAAAGTATTAATATTTTAATAAATTTAACTTGTAGTGTTTTTATTAAAGTGAACAATGAATGAACAAACGGAAAGGAAATGCTATCTTTCTCTATCTTTATCACATGGAAAGAAAGATATAAAGGTTCATGAAATAATGCACGAAAGTGATGTGCAACCACAATTATTCTTATTCTAGGATCCTATGCCATGAATGCTCTCTATAAATACATTGCCAGCATTTTTTTTTCTAAAATGAATTTAAATATATTAGAAAGATAACTTGTGGAATTTCTTTTCTAAAAAAAATTTCAAAGTAACAAGGAGAGTCACAAGTAGTAGCGCATGCGTTCAAATTTACGCCTATGTGTCATAGGCACTGACGCATGCACGATCAATACGTGGCTCCTATTGTTATCAGCGTTGTAGAACAAAAAGGATGCGTCAATAAGTCTAACGCATGCATCTCTTTTTGTACACATAGGCGTAAGACCTTTAGCGCCGATAGAAATTACGCATTAGTGATTGCATGTATTGACGCCTTTTTTTTTTATCAAAATTTTTTTATTTGAAACATGAATATTTTAGTAATATTATTGGAAAGTTCTAAAGTCGGTGATGCTATGAATAAAGTCATGATGGGCTTTATCTTTTTATCTCATTACTGAAAAAAGAGTTTGAAAAGATAAATATGGTACATGAAAAAAGTGGTGAAAAGATATAAGAAAGTGTATTGATTAAGTAATGTGTGTTGTGTGGGGACAGTTAAGGCATTGAATCAAGCAAGACTAGAGGCTAATATTAGAGTGTATGGAGATGAAAAGCACAAAAAAACATGGCCAAGTGTTTACTCAATGGCTTCTGGTTTGTTGCTTGCACTTTCATTTCTGAAATTTGTGTACCCACCATTCAAATATCTTGCTCTTGGAGCTGTGGCTGCTGGGATTCTTCCAATTATCTTAAAAGCTTTTGTCTCCATTCGGAATGTTAGAGTTGACATCAATATTCTCGTCATCATAGCAGGTACTAATTTTTATTTCATTTTTAATTTTTTTCCTTTAAATTTTAATAAAAATTACAAAATTATTAGTACTCTCTAGTCTCTATAGTCATATTTATTACTTTAAAAAAGGATTTATTAAATAAACTATGTATTTTGACTAAAAGTAGTTTTTTTCTTATAAATAAGACTTTTATGACATGTATAAAGACAGATTCAAAGAATGGAAATAAAAAATAGTAATAAATAATAAATGATATAATAACAAAATAAATATAAGAGTGAAAATATATGTATATGTTTGTGCAAAAACTGCAAAATTTAATTTAGTCTTTGAAAAAATTAAAAATATCTTTTTAGTCTTCTAAAAAGGTATAGTGGAACATTAGTCAATAGTACTTTCTTTATACTTTGTTTGGTCAATGAAATAAATTGACAGAAAAGAAAAGAAAATAAAAAGGCCATAAAAAGAATAAAAAATAAAATAATAATTTAGAATTCGGTGTAGGAAATAATAATAAGAAATGACTATGTAAATGAATAGAATAACACAAATATTCTTTAAAAAATTAAATACCATAAAAAAGTATTATCATTGAAGTATAGGACTTTTTTTGGGTATAATTCAATTCTAGTTGGTAGTATTTATATGTATTTCTTATATTCTGTAAATAAATTGTTGATATTTATAAATCAGCAATCTTTTAAAAATAGATTAATTTTTTTCTAAGAAAATAAATTAAGTCCAATTTTTTTCTTATATATTAAAAAAATTAAATAGTTTAGCAAAAAATACTGGATAACTAATAAAATAACAGTAAATCTAATTTGTAAATTTATAGTATTTGGTATAATTAACAGTAAATCTAATTTATAAATATAAAACTAACTCTAAACACGTGATGATGTATATGGCATGGAAAGTGAGCACCAAACGAATCATATAGGTCCTTATGAGTCAATGTATTTATTAAAAAAGTTAAGATAGAAAAGTGCTTATAGCCGAAATGATTATTTTAATTATACTATCAAGGCTTAGTATAAATAATTAGATTCTCAAGCTTCTTTTAGTGGTAATAAAAGTTAGTTACCTAATAATTTTATCTTCATATGCCTAACTCAAGTTAATAAAAGTTAGTTACCTAATAATTTTATCTATATGCCTAACTCAAGTTAGGTAACAAAATATGAATAATTCCGTTAAGACAACTCAGTTGATAGTTGTGCATGAGCATCAAATGCAGACTTGCCGTGAGTTCGAACGCACGTCTCACATCTAATGTTCCTGCACAGCTACCAACTGAGCTGACTTAACGGGACAATAGCAGTATTTAGTTTGTTAATATTAGATATTATTTTTTAAGAATTTATCATTCAAGTTAATATTTTAATACATTTGTTCATTATTCATCTATGAATCTGTGATGCTCAGCTCCACTGAATATGTTTTTAATTTGACAGTTATTGCGACAATTGCTATGAGAGATTATTTGGAAGCAGGAACCATTGTTTTCCTCTTCTCAATTGCGGACTGGTTAGAGTCAAGAGCTAGCCACAAGGTCTTTATTGTTTTTCATGCTTTACAATTCATCAATCATCACGATTATGGACGATGATTGTAACGATTTATGTGCACTAACTAGAAACAATCTGAACATGAAACAGGCGAATGCAGTTATGTCGTCGTTAATGAGCATTGCTCCTCAAAAGGCAGTGATAGCAGAAACCGGAGAGGTTGTCGATGTTGACGAGGTGAAAGTCAACACAGTTTTAGCAGTTAAAGCTGGGGAAACTATACCTATCGACGGAGTTGTTATAGACGGTAACTGTGAAGTCGATGAAAAAACATTGACAGGTGAATCATTCCCTGTAGCTAAACTGAAAGACTCCATTGTGTGGGCCGGCACAATTAACCTAAACGGTAAATTCTCGGTCTCCGTTTGCACAAGAGAAGATATAAAAAAAGAAGAATAGAAAGTTTGATTTTTAATTTAATTTAATTTATTTGTTAGAGTGATTTAAGAAAGTTAATCTACTTTTTTATCGGTTAAAAGGTTATATTAGTGTCATGACCACTGCGTTATCCGAAGACTGCGTGGTTGCAAAAATGGCAAAGCTTGTGGAAGAGGCCCAGAACAGCAAAACCAGCACGCAGAGGTTGATTGACAAATTTGCCAAGTTTTATACACCAGGTTAGTCAAAACATTCCCGTGTAATCAACCGAATGTTGTTTCTGATATTTATAGTTCTCGCTGTGTGTAATCAACCAAATGTTGTTTCTGATATTTATAGTTCTCGCTGTGGTTTAAACTTACGATTTCGTCTGTCAATGATTTCTGGTCTGAATACATTTTCAATGGCCTTATAGTTTTGGTGGTAATGTTTTCAGCTGTTGTAGTCATATCGACACTTGTAGCAGTGATTCCGCTTGTGTTAAAAGTACATAACGAGAAATACTGGCTTCACTTTGCACTGGTTGTTTTAGTAAGTGCATGTCCTTGTGCACTTATCCTTTCAACACCAGTTGCGACTTTTTGCGCTTATACGGCAGCTGCTACATCCGGTCTTCTGATCAAAGGGGGTCAATCTCTGGAAACACTGGCAAAAATTAAGATCATGGCTTTTGACAAAACGGGTACCATAACAAAGGGTGAATTTGCGGTGACGAATTTCCAATCTCTTTCAGATGACATTGATTTGAACACATTGCTCTACTGGTGAGGATGACCCTTATTTTCCTCTACAACTTTCTTTGAAAATGGTTAAATCTTAAGATTAAAAAAGAGAGATTAACGAGCGTAACTTTTCAGGGTGTCGAGCATTGAGAGCAAGTCAAGCCACCCATTGGCGGAAGCAATTGTTGATCACGGAAGGTCTCTCTCCATTGAACCAAATCCGGAAAAGGTGACAGAATTTGAAAATTTTCCGGGAGAAGGAATCTTTGGAAAAATTGATGAGAAAGTTTTCTACATTGGAAATAAAAAAATCGCTACAAGAGCAGGATCTAAAACAGGTGAAGGACATTTCCTACTATGTCACTACCTGTTCGAGGCCATTTGAAAACGATACAGTGTAACAATTGTTTTTTGAAACTGAGTTAAACGGCCATTGTATTGATTTTATGCAGAAGTTCCAACATTAGAAGGTGAAGTTGATGGAGGAAAGACCGTTGGCTACATATACTCAGGACCAACCCCAGTTGGAATTTTCTCGTTATCTGATACTTGCCGGTCAGGGGTTCAAGAGGCAATAAGGCAGCTGAAGTTGTTAGGAATCAAAACCGCTATGCTCACTGGAGATAGCCAATCAGCTGCAATGCAAGCACAGGAGCAGGTGTGTGATGTCATATTGTTAAACCCTAATAAATATAATATGAGCTTTTGGTTCTACATTGAGGTTGCAGTTATGCTACAAAACATGATAACACGGCTAAATGCAGTTGCAATTGTGGTTGCAATTTTTGCAGATACCTCTAAAACTTTTATATTGCAGGCACAATTGCACTCACTTGCAGACCACAATTTAGAACTATCTAGAACTATCTATGGCTATATTCGAGTATCATATTCTATATGTAGATATCTGAAGAAGTTATAGGTTTAGGATTTACTTATCATGGAGAAGATAAATCCTTATGACAAAAGTGATTTTGGTTGCAGTTAGGTGGAGCTCTGGAGTTAGTCCATGCGGAACTTCTGCCGGAGGGCAAAGTAAAAATCATCTCTGAATTTAAAAAGGAAGGTCCAACAGCGATGCTTGGAGATGGTTTAAATGACGCACCTGCGTTAGCTTCAGCTGATATTGGAATTTCAATGGGGATTTCAGGTTCTGCACTGGCAAGTGAGACCGGCGATATCATTCTTATGTCGAATGATCTTAGGAAAATACCAGAAGCCATTAAGCTCGCCAGAAGATCTCGAAGGAAAGTGATAGAAAATATTATATTATCAGTCATTACTAAGCTTGCGATTCTTGGTTTGGCTGTCGCTGGTCACCCGATTGTTTGGGCAGCAGTTCTTGCCGATGTTGGGACATGTCTGTTGGTCATCTTAAACAGCATGTTACTTCTGCCAAGAAGACACAAGCATGGAGGAAAAAGTTGTAAGTCATCAACTCAACATCATGTCCACAAAAATGGATGCGGCGACACTAACGGCTGTTCCTCTCATCATCACCATCAACATCAGCATCAACATGAGCCTGAACATCAGCAACAACATCACCATCACCATCACCATGAGCATGAGCATCAACATCAACAACACCAACATCAACATCAACATCAAGGCCATAAGCATTGTTGCTCAGACAAGGCTGAGCCCCAGAAGCATGTCGCTAAGTCATGTTCCTCAAAAAGTCCACCCTGCCCTTCAAATCCAAGTTTAAGTGGAAGTGTTCCCCATCTCAAAAACACGGAGAATCATGATCAATGTAAGGGAAGTCATGAATTGCATGAATCAGATCACTGTCATCATGGAAGATGTGACAAGAGTCAAGATGAAGTACAGAAACATGATACTGAAAACAAGTGTTGTTCAGATTCACACAATTTGAATTTAAATGCCAGAGATGTCAACACAGCTTCGATAAAAAGTCATGGTCATTGTCTGGGACATAAGTCCCATGGAACAAAACACTGCCACAACCAAAACGTTGGCATGGTTACTCGTGATAGCACTTCACATAGTTCTCCCTGCCATCTCAATCCCTGTGATAAAAAACAAAGCCAACAATTAGGTGAGCACTGTCACTCAAACCATAGTTGTGAAAAACTGCAAAACCATGGAACCATTCATGACATTCAGCATCAGAAAACAGGTTGTCATTCTGATAACCATGGTTGTGAAAATCTGCATGACCATGGAATCATTCATGACATTCCGCATCAGAAATCAGGTTGTCATTCTGATTTTAAGAAGCATGGGACGAGTGAAATATCCATAGATATCACCGAAGAACATGATGAAACAGCATCGAAGCCTGATTGTTCAAGTTTAGCAGAAAAAGAAAAGGATTCCTGCAAAGATTGCTCCAAAACATGTGAGAACCCGCCTGTTGAGTGTGAGGGCTGCGACGGTTCAATTGAGAAAGAAGTTAGTTCATGCTGCTATAATGAGGGTTGTTCAAAGGAATCGATCGAATCCTCAATTGCGCATGCTTGTATTAGCTTGGACAAGAGAGTAGTTGGTGGATGTTGCAAGAGCTACATGAGGGAATGCTGTGGCAAGCATGGACATTCAAGGATTGGTAATTTTGTAGGTTTATCAGAAATTGTTACAGAATAGGTGTAGCTGACTCGAACCAGCACAAGCAACAGAGTCAGAAAAAAAGGTTGTTTCTGCAAATTTGTGTTTAGAAGATTATCATGATATTTGGAAGTAATAAGAACTGTAATTGGCTATATTATATAGGAAACATCTTAATCTTGCTACAACTCTTGTATATATGTTTTTAGAGTTGGTTGATGTGAACACAAGATTGAAAAATACATATATTGAGTTTTTCTGTTTCCTACTTTTAATTATGTATGAATGTATATTGATGTATATTAGTATTCTTCGTAGTAGTATTCTATAAAGCACAGATACCAGAAATACAATACTAACACTCATACGTGGAAATCAGTAATAATCAATAAGTTAACATTGACTGAGACACATTATTCATATTCTTTCCAAGGTGCCGATAGCATGCATTGAATACAAAGTTAAAAAGTACATTGATATGATGATAATATCATGCAAGCAATGGATTATTGGATTGAGAAGCTGAGAGGTATAATATCAACAAATTGTACCTGGGATTCAAATTGCAGAATCATCATTGTTAGTAGAAGTTAAGTTTTAGTAGTTGGTGAAGGAGAATCCGTGCCGTATTAGAATCAACCACAAACGAATCCTTGGCAAATTGTGCCGCCACCATGTGGTTTTATCCACGTTTAGGACAGTCGCATGGGATTGTTTTTGAAAACATTTTCTGCATTACAAAGAAATAAGCTTACATTGCAAGATAGGAGTTCCCATAATTTTTTTTTAGTTGGAAGACAGGTAAAAGGAAATTGTTGGCAGATGAAGTGAACATAATTATGAGGTCTCACATTGAATTGAATTTGTGATGATGTTCAACTAAACAAATTTGACATTCATAAGATAAGATTTTAAATTGTAGTTTATAACAAAGAGGGGTTACACTTATATAATTGATTGGTGAATGAACGGGATTGTAAAGGTGGACTTAGCTTTCGGTAGGGTGGAAGAGGGACTGATATGCAAAATTAGTACGTTAACGCCTAAATTGGTATGAGAGTAAGATGAAGTGAATGAGATTTAAATTTGAATTACCTGAGAAATGACGTGTTCTCCCTTATATATAGTATGATTGTTATAATAGCTTGTTGATCTATCAACATGAGATGTAAATAATTGTATGATTTATTTGGGATTGAGATCCCCAGCTTTCTTGTCTATAATAGACCGCCTGCTTCGCACACAAGAATTTGGGTTGTTTTTCTCTCTAGAATGTAATTTTGTTTGGCTCTTTGACAGGTCCAAAACATGTGCCCTCAAACTGTTGCCTCTAATTTGTAGGGTGAGAGCTTTGTTATGTTTTTTCTCTATTATCGATCGTTGTTTGGCTTGAGTGAAAAACTGCGATGTGACGTCAGTGTTATGGGGAAACTTGCGCCTTAAATGTGTATCATACTTTTGATGTCTATTCAACTGCTTTGTCATGATGGCCATTGGGGACTAAAGTATCTGAATATTTTTTTTTGAGAAATTTGGACCATTGATAGTACTTCACTTCCTACGTACTGGTAAGATATTGCACGATTTCTAGGAAGAATTATATGGCTCCTTTAATCATTACTTTTTTCTCTTTTATCATCTACAATCTTTGCAACATACCATTGTTATTGACTAATGGAAGTGGTGCCCGTCACGCATAAAAAAGTTAAGGAAGATACTTATGTTTTCGAGGTAGACCTTGAAATTTCGATGAACGTTTTTATTTTTGCTCGCATAGGTAACCTAGAGATGCTTTCCTTGAAGTGGGTTCTTCTTCTGACTAGGGCGTATTGATCTCAGAGGAAGACAAAAAGATATTCGACGAATATAGTGGGTGTGTCGTCCTTTTTTATAAGTGCAGCTTTTTGATTTTGGATTTTTGGTTGCTTTTAATGATTTTGAAGTTGAGGTTATCAATCATCTGATGATTGCTTACTCGCAATTGAATCATGTGAGTTTGGCTTTAATCAAAGTCTTCGAATATTGGTGCGACTATCGGAGAAGAAAACCATTTTTATCTTTCTTCTTCCATATTTTCAAGGTACGACATAGCACGACGAATCGTGTCTAGGTCCAAAGCTTAATTACATTGACGCAGGTTATCCGTTACTTCAAAATGTATTCTGGTGGTGTAAAACATTTCAAAGATTGGTTCTTTCTTGTTTCTCTTCTCAACAAAAAGGCTCATATGAATATTTGAGCCATAGATAATGAAATGAAATACCAATGTACGAGTTTTTTCGTAAGTTTTGGAGGCAAGACCCTTTTTAATGGGGAACGGGTCATACATCTACAAAAAAGATGACCTGTCCCAGGAAGAGATTTATCTAAAGAAATAGTTAATTACTTTCTTCAAAGGGTTAAGTAATGTCGAGGGGTCATCGTGCGAGATGAAGCATAAAAAAAACGTTTAAAGCAACAATTGCCTTGATATCTCATCTCATGACTTCAATTTGCGAACACAACTCTCTAACTTAGGGTCTTCTAGGGTAGGAGCATCATCTTTTGTATTGTCAATTTTCAATGGTACATATGCACTTGATCTTGAGCCAACATTATTCTTGGACCTCCAAACAGTCTTCAACATGTCACTAGTCCTCTTAGGTGCATGTGGTTTCTTCTTTGTATCAACTCTTTGTTTCTTCATTCTCAAAGACTTATTCTAGACAACTATGACTTCAATAACACGTGTTTGATTAACAATATAATATGAGATTGTTACTCATGGGATTGTTGTAATGAAGATAGCAAGTGGAGTTTTTTTTATCATCTCCACATAAACTAGTTGTATTTCAAATACATTTTAATGGTTTCTATTACGTCAAGTTTAGTTTATTAGAAGATTGATTGTTTGATGAATACTTGAAAAATAGAATAACAGAAAATATATACTATCACTGTTTCAACAGGGAGAAAACTTTGTTGGAGTTAGATTTCATTGACCTGTTCTTATGTAGCATCCTTGACTAGTAATTTGCAATTACTATCAGTTATTAATATTAAGTTTCAACAATGAATGCAGATATCAATGTCCATTTTCATCAAATATCATTATTCATATGGAAATTAAACCTAAATCTATGTCTAGACGTTAGCATTCGACATATGATTGACTTGGATCTAGTAATGTCCGGTAACTTTTGAATATAAAGTTATACCATAAAAACATGTTTTAGGTAGTTAATGAAAAACAAACATTAATAAAGGAGAATTAATCAGTACTAAAACTTAAGAAGAATTATATATAACACCATGATCGGGATCATAACATAAGTAATAGAATAAATACAACTAATCTTGACAGCTGATCAAAACCTAAAATGGACCAGAGACAATCGTCTGTGATGCTGGGTGTGAGAGAGGAGGAGGGGGTGTACCTGCAAGGCACTCCGATGCTAAAGTAAGAATCAGGAGAAAGAAGGCAAGTACAAAATATATGTGTATCAAGGTGAATATTAAATACTTGACCCTCTTAAATGAGAGGGTTTTTATAGTTCCCCAACACTTGGCCATTGGTTTCTATTTTTGGGGCGAGATAACTGTTTCCCAAAGAATAGGTAACTGCCATAAACTAGTCGTTGGGACGGGCAGAGGTGCCCATAACTAGCCATTGATACGGGTAGAGGCGCAGTAACGGGCGCATCCGTTGTGACTGTTTCTGGATGGTGGGACCGTGTGTGACGGACAAGGAGTGATAAGGAGAAGTGTTGGCCCAAGGGTAAACCGGTCAACCTCCTCTAGTGGAGGGGCAGAAAGGTAAATGCTTCCCCAATTTGGTCGGACTTAGGAAATTGGACCGTTCTGGGAGCAAAAGTGGATTGGGGAATGCCTAGTCATTGGCCAGTCCGAAACAGTAGCCCCCTAAGTTATTGCTTCAGAGCATTAGAGTGATGACTTAAGGGTTGTTCGCACTCCAGACAAGGTCGTCGCTTGTTGCGGAGATGAGGCTATTACTTGTTGCCCAAGGGAATATGTGTTCGGGGACCTGTAATGCCGCATGTCAGGGAGCTCGAGATATAGGTAGACCAACGGTTGAGGGGACCTGAAGAGGTGAAGTGTCATATGTGCCTCGAGCCATGTGCAACATTTAATGCACAATGATGGCTAGGCTATGGTCATGATGATGCCCCTAGTCGCGCGTGCTCGTGCACGTGCCATGGATTGTCTATAAATAAAGCAAGAAGCTGCTCATTTTCACCTTTCGCTTCTCTCTCTACTATTGCTCTCTGTCCTTGCGTTCCGCCGTCCGCCGCCGTCTAGTTCCTTCTGACCGCCGTACCTTCACCGGCCAAAGCTGTTCGACCCCAGAATCTCGTCCTCGACCACGTAAGTACCTGAGTTTCTTTCTTGTTATATGTTTTACTATTCTCTACTTTTAGAATGCATGCGGTTAGGGTCATAGTGAAGTAGCTTAGGGCTATTTTCCGGTGGTAGACGGTGGTTTGGCCATTTTCTTCAACTGCTAGCATCGCCGGAGCTTTAAAAACTTATGATTTTAGTTGATCCTGATGCTGTTGCGACACGGAAGCGTTTATCTCCGGGGGGAACCATGGATTTCCGATGTGCTTATGAGCTTTCCGGTGGTTTTCTAGCAGAGACTCTGGGTTCTGTACTAGGGGAGCTTTTCCCCGAGCGTGTCAGGGGGGTTGTCCCGGGCATCTCCTCGTGTAGTGGATGTGCCATTTCAGTAGGGCTTAGGTCGGGGACGTTGTCCTCAGGTCTTTGTGCGCCCTTCCACTTGACTAGTGGTGGAAGGGTGGATTGGATTCTTTCATCGAGTTCACTTTTATCCCTGCGTTTTAGGTAAAGGAGATGTTGCACGAAGCCGAAGAAGAGAACTTGAGAGATTTGCCCGAGGAGAGCTCCTTGGAAGATACTGAGACCAATGACACTTCCACGCCTCCGGATGTTGGGGAAGTGCATGTTTCGAGGACCACCGCAGAGGAATGGTCTATGGACGAGCCTGGGGAGCACGCCTTCCTTTTTTCTTCGTACACCGG